TGGTGCTGGGCACCGAACTGGCATGTGTCCCGGAGGGCGGCAGCCTGGGCATGGCTGGCATGGCACCGGGGCTGGCGTGCCAGCCAGAAGGGCCAACCCCTCCATGCCCTTCCTGAGCCACCCATGACCTCCCTGTCCCAGAGCTGGGGCTCACCATCTCCCACTCCGCACAGATGTAGGGCCCCGGCCGCAGGATCACCAGAAGCCCCAGCTCAGCGGTCAGGTCCAGGAAAGCTTCCACATCCCGGTCCCCAGCAAAGTCATAAACCCCTGGCAGCGGCTCGTGGTAGTTCCAGGGGATGTGGCTGGGGCGAGAGGGGAGATCAGCACACGGGGGCTAAGGCCACCCTGGAACAATGGGGAATCGTCCCACAGGCTGGTCCCCCTGCTCCTGGGAACTGGCCTCCAGCCTGGGCTGAGGACAGCAACTGGGGCTGGACTGGGACTAGCCGAGGCTCAGGCTCATGTCTAGCAGGGGCGTCCTGGGGGTCACAGTCAGCCCCGTGCAAGGGCTCTGTCCCTGCTCCGGGGATCCCAGAGACCCCGAGGCGCCGCGGTGGCTGCGAGCTGTGCGCTGTCAGGGCTGTCCCCGTCACTTACACCTGCACGGTGCTGAGCCCGCTCATGTACATCTTGAGGAGCCGGTCCCTCCAGGCAGGGCGTGGGACACGGGCGTAGTGGATGCTGCCCGAGATGTAGCGGAAAGGGACACCGTCCTTGCGGAAGCAGTCCTCCTCGAAATCCAGCTGGAAGGAGCGTGCTGGAGGGGAGGCCTGCGGGACAGGGGTAGTGCTGGGGGGGTGCAGACCTTCCTCAAGCTCAGCTGCCACCTCCCACGCTCCCTGGGACAGGGACTGATGGGGGCTGGTTCCGGGCTGGTGCCTGGGGGGTCCCTCCCCACCCTCGGTGCAGGGACGAGGCAGGCACCACGCTGTCCTGGGAGAGCAGGAGGGACAAGCAGGGCAGCCATTTGCACCGCCTGCTGGCCCTCCCTTGCTAATCAAACATCCTGTATCTGAGCTGGTGGCACTTCGGGAGACGCGTGCTGCTGGGGATGGGTGCTGGGAGGGCAGGCAGGGAGCTGGCAGCATGAGTGGGACATCGGAGCGGGACATGGGCTGCAGCAAGAAAGGAGCCATAGCAGGAAGAGCAGGGAGGAGGAAAGCAAGGCATATCCCAGAGCTGTCCCACCAGATCCTTTGCAGCTCAGCCCCACGCGCATCTCCCAGAGTTTCCACCCGCGTTTGCTAACCTGTGTGTGCAGGAGCCCCGCTGCCAGCAGCAGGGTGAGAGCCGGCAGCCCCATCCTCGCAGGGCGCTCCGCTGGCCCAGGATGGGGGACGAAGGGGGACGTGGACACCACCATCACATGATCCTTCTCGGCCAGCACCGGGTGCTTCCTCCAGGTCCTAAGTGCAGGCAGCTGGAACAGCAGCACAGCCTGGGGGGGGAGGAGTGTGGGGTAAGGGGTGAGCGGCTCTGGTCCCCCACGCCCGGGCCAGCTGCACGTCAGCCCCCTCAAAGCCCACCCGGCATGGGATGCAAGCAGCCCACCACTGCCCCAGCCAGCGCACACATCCCCGGTGTCCCCCGGGGTGGTGGGCGACACAGACGGAGGGACAAGGAGCCTCATAAGTGTCACCACCAGACAAAACGCCTTTGAGAGAGCTCAGCCCACTTGTTTCACCAGAGGGGTGGTGATGGAAACCCCGGTTACAGCTCCGGCAGGGGGGATGCTGCTGCTGTCTGAAGGACAGAAAAACGTCCCTGGCCCGAGGTCCGGAGCCTGGTGACAGAGCTGGTGACAGGGCTGGCGGGGAGGCATCGCAGGGCAGGGCGAGGGGCTGATGCTCCTGCTGGGGTGGCCTCGCCGTCGCC